AAAAAAAAAAAAAAACCAGCCAGGCATTGAGGGAGGCGCCTGTAGTCCCAGCTACTTGGGAAGCTAAGGCAAGAGAAGTGCTTGAGACCAAGAGTTTGATGTTGCTGTGAGCCGTGACTCCACAGGACTCTACCCAGGGCAACAGCTTGAGATTCTTGTTGCAAAAAAAAAAAAAAAATTATACAAATGTAAATATAAATTAGATATATGTAAATTACATAGGTAAAAATGTATATATGGTATATAACATGATGTTTTGATATATGTATACATTTTGAACGGGGCACAATAAACTAATTAACATTTATCTCACATTTTTCTTTTTTGTGTGTATGGTGAGAACACTTTAAATTTACTCTCTTGGAAATTTTCAACTACAATTACTCCAGAAGAACATTTAGCTACCCTGCAGTCTGCTTCAAAAGCCTACTAAAACAGAGCTAATAAGTCTATTTTCTGGTCAGAAGACAACCTAAAGCTCAAATTATGACACAGAAAAATCAACTACAATCATAATTTTTAAGACTAGGTCTCAAAATTTCAAATATAAGTTATTTCTTAAGTCTCATTTCATAATATTCACTGAAATATAAATATATCTCAATCCATTATTATACCAGTTATATCCAAGGCTCATAGCTTTGTATAAATATATCTCAGTATGGTATCACGTCAATTAGATACGAAGCCAGTAGCTCATACTTTTTAGAACACTTGGAGAATTAAACTAAAAAGTTATCATGCCAATATTTGACATTTTACTGTACATACCAAAAGATTCATCTTTCTTATCAAGGCGAAGGTGAGCTCTAACCTGCCCTGGTTCACAGCCATCACAGGTATCACTTCCAGGGTGAATGTGAAAGGATAATACAGTTTCTCCAATTTTCACTTCATCTCCATGCTCAAGTACGTAAGGGTCACATTTAGTTTTGGGCTAAAGAAGAAAAAATTTATAAAATAAAAATCAAAAATAGTCACACATGGTTATGTCTACTGTGATGTTTCCTAAAACATATTTGAAATGGTTCTTAATGAGATAGATACACAAATGTGCAAACATCTCAACTGGAGAGATAAACCATAAAAAGTTCTCCTAGTGAAGGAGATAGCTGACCAAGCAACTTCGAATTTTTATGTTACCAAAACCCATCAATTTCCCTATGTCCATGCCTAATCCTGTCAGAAATACCTAACATTAGACTTCAAACCACCTATGAATACAACAAATAATCACAGCAGTAAAAAAAAAAAATGAAATGTTAACAGAAAGGAATAAATGCATCACATCTCCTTTTTGTCTTTTCTTTTGATAATTCAGTTTTATTTCATTTTTTATTCTTACAGACCAAGGCCCTCTTCCATCCCTTCTCTTGTCCCTCCCTCCCCTCTGCCACATATTTTCTTATTACAAGCCCAGCACTTTGCTACATGCTGATATAAGCATTAACTGGACTGACATAGCCCCTGACTTCAAGGAGTTTGCAGTTTAGCAATAATTCCATTAAGACAATAAAAAAAAAGAAGACCTCTAAAAGTTGATATAAGAGTATTTATTCTGAATGCCTTTATAATGCATTCATATCTAAAAATAAGACAAATACATAACTAGAAGTCAAAACTCAATAGCTAAGTACCCTGATTATACACATTTTTTTTGAGACAGAGTGTCTCATTTGGTCACCCTTGGTAGAGTGCCATGGCATCTTAGCTCACAGCAACCTCAAACTCTTGGGTTCAAGTGATCCTCTTGCCTCACCCTCCCAAGTAGCTGGGACTACAGG